TTTGTCACTTTGGAAAGATAGAAGTCTTGGGCTTTTAAAAATTTGTGTTTAATTGATGCACACAGTTAAGAGATAGTTGTGCTAAGAAAATAGGAATAATTGTGTAATAATTAATTTTTGAGATGGATGCAGTAGCAATAAAGCCTGTGGAAGATATTCCTGCAGTACTTCCATGGCTAATTAATCCCTTCCCACCTTGGCTAGGTGAAATTCCCTAATTGCAGGTAATGGATGGTGCTGGGTTTTGCCATCATCTGTACAGTTCTGCTGTGGTGGTCGATAGAATTCTGTTTAACCCTGAAAAACTGTTTATTTTTGTTTGGCATCCTCTCCCTCCATCTCTTATGGAGCAATATAACTATTAGCTCATGTTTTATTCACACTCTTAAATCAGGAAAATTTACTTGTAATTAGTTTCTCTTTGTCTAAATGATTGTCTTCTCTGAGTTGTGTTTGTTAGGTAATTGCATAAAATTTTTACTACACTCTTGCACTATAAAGAGAACTTTTTTACTACATTTTATGACCTAGATGTGGCCAAATTTTCTTTTCTTACCAGGAGATTGCCTGAATGAAAGATGCATAAGTCCTTACTGTCAACCCACACTTAAAAACTGATGATAAATAAACCTAACAAGTATTGTCAATAATTAATGTGATCAATAAATAAATCAGCAGTGATCAGAATCACTGAGGTGGGGCAGGTGGTGGTGTTGCAGTATTTTGGGTGGTGCAGTGCTCCTGTGAAGCTGGGGGTGAGGAACAAGTAGAAAAACCATCTGTGGAAACAAATGGAAAACTTCCACGAGAAACGATCCTGTGGGCAACAAATTGGAAATTACAATTAGATGGCAGGTAATGACTAAATAACCTGTCTAAGGCTTTGAAGATAATTAAGCACTAAAAGATTTTCCAGATTTACTTATGGAAATCTCCAAATTTATGATATAATTTTATGTGAGCCATTGGCTGGCTGGCTGCAAAGTGAAAATAGACATTTATATGCAGAGAAGGAAGGTGGCTCTCCAGAATCATTTCACCAAAAGCAATAAATGAATGAAAACAACCCTTCTGTGAAGAGAAACCTTTGAAATTACTTGAAGTAATGGTAAGAACGAGACTGGTTATCTTTTCATGTAAATGTTATTGCTGGCTGCAGAGTAGAAAGGATTCAAGACTGTTTAAAATAAAGCAGAAAGCTTAAAATGAGCAACTTTGAATAAGCTTAACTTCTGATGAGATCATTATATTTGGGGTGATGAAAGATCCTTGCTTTGCATATGCTGAGGGAAATTGCATGGGAAGCCTAGAAATATTCCATTTCCAGAAGGGAGAGGGTTCAGTGGGAGTTTGCCAGATAAGAATATATTTTATCCTGCCTGCACTTTGGGGGTTTAGGCTGTTCCCTGTTCCATTGCTGTGCCTAATTGGCTCGGTGGTCAAATGATCAGTGTTTCTGAGCCATGTTGGGGCACCAGCCAAAGTCTGCTTTGCATCTGATCATGGAGTTTTGTGCTGTGAGGTGTAAAGTTTCTCCTAAAGCCTTGATTATCCTTTGTGGTTTGCACGTACACTTGTGTCAAAAATGAAATTGGGATTTAGTCTCAAGAGCTGCTGGAAATCACAGGTTAGATTATGATGAGCATGGCTTCATCATCATCATCATCAAGCCATGGTTTGGGTTGGAAAGGACCATCTAGTTTCCACCCCCATGAACATAATTCCATGATTTTAAGTGAGAAAGCATCAGTTTTTCACAAAATAAACAGCTGCAGAACTCTGCAGGTTGGGTTTTTTCCCATTTGTTCAAATCTGCCTTTATGCTTAGCACATGTCCTTGGAGCTGCATTGTTATAGCCAGGTAGGAACTCAAACCCTTTCTAAATGTGCCATTATAATTTCTTGTTATCAAAAGAATTAATTCAGTATTTTTCCTACATCTGTCAAGTTTTACATTAAAACCAGAGAGGCTTTCTTGCCTTCTGCACAGAAAGGCTGAAATCTCACAGTTCTGTTAGCTGGGACAATCTCATTTCCCACCTGGTTTTATTTACAGCCTGTTCAAAGTGCCAATATTGTCTTTTACTTGAATGCTTTCTCATTTGCATGTGTTGGGTTTTTGGAAATAACAATAGACTTCTGCTGTTATTTTGTGAGCAGATTTTATGGATTGTTTGGTTTTGTTTTAATTTTGGGTGTTTTTGTTAGTTTTTTTCATGGGGAAGCTAGATAAAATATCAGACAGCTTCTTTCACAAACTGATCATATAAAAAATGATGGCCACAACTTCAGTGCTGCAGGTTTTTATTTTGAAAACGTTGTAAAATGGGCTTAAAAGGAGCTGGTGAGTTAACTCAATACTTAGGACAGGCTTGAAAATTATTGTACAAAGATTAATAAAATAAAGTCCTCAACAATCTTAATAAAATGAAGAAGATAGCATGTAACTGTTCCTACAGACCTGTCATGCCAAATTTTTTGGACAGTTGCTCTCAGATGCAGTGGACTTGGCAAAGATAAAGTAAATCTATTTCAGTCATTAATAAGAATTTCCTATTCTTTTTCTTAATCTGTGCAAGTCTGAGAAAAAAATCCCAAAAACTGGCATTAGATCAGCCTTTGTTTTAAATGACTTACAATTCTGATAAAGCAGCTGAAGCAGTTTTTTAAATTTAGCAAAGTCTTTGTTCTTTCCAATGAACAGCACAGTGACTTGATACCGAGAGATAGATTAGGAGCAAATTATCTTGAATTTGAAAATTAATTTCCTGGAATTTCACAGGGAAATTTTGCTATTCTTTCACTTCCCAAAGCAATTAACATGGTTTTGATGAGTCAGTTTTACTGTGATAAAGTGTCCAGCTCTGGAGTCTTCAGCACAGGGATGATGTGGATATGTGGGTCCAGAGGAGGCCTCAAAAATGAGCAGATGGCTGGGACATTTCTGTAAGGAGAGTTGGGGTGCTCAGCCCCAAATCTGATCACGGAGTTTTGTGCTGTGAGGTGCAAAATTTCACCTAAAGCATTGATTATCCTTTGTGGTTTGCATGTAGAGAGAAGAAAAGGCCCCAGGAAGACCTTAGAGCCCCTTTCAGGGGATTACGGAAGGTTGGGGATAAACATTTAGCAGGGCTTGTTTGATAGGACAAAGAGAAATGGTTTGAACAAAAAGAGATTTGAACTAGATGTAAAGAGAGGAAATTAAAATAAGGGTGGTAAAATACTGCCATGGTTTGCTCAGAGATGAGGTGAATGTTCCATCCCTGGAAAACCTTCCAGGCCAGGTTGGATGGGACTTGAGCAACCTGCTCCAGTGAAAGGTTTCCCTGCCCATGGCAGGGGCTGGAAATTGATGAACTTTAAAGGTCCTTTCCAAGCTGAATTATTTTATGATTCATTTTTGTCAGTAGTTTCCAGCTTTAGCTAAAACTGTATCTGACTTTAATGTAGTTCAGGAATGGAATCACTTTTCCTTTCCCCATCCCATCACATCCTATGGCAAAGATTCCTGAATTGGCTTTGGAGCTCAGAGCTGAACAAACCCAAAAGCTGAAGGGGAGATGCTCCCAGAAATCTTCAGCTGTGCCAAAGCTACTGGAATCATTCCAACCAGAATATTTGTCTGCCTTTAGGATGTTAATCCAAATAATAAAAAAATAAGGCTTGGGAAAGGTTTGCAAGAACAATTCCCAGACAAGTGAGGCTTAGCAGTGAGTAGATGTTAAAATGGACTGTGACACTATTTACAAACAGTGCCTGTGAGTAGGTGTCTCACTCAGAACAAATACTCCTACTCACACCCAACACATTGAATTTAAAAAGTGGAAGGTATTTATGAGGGTAACAGAAAACAGAGAAAGGTGATAATAAGCCATCCATTTTAATAAGGAATTAGGATTCTGACCTATTTCTTTCCCAGCAGGATTTATCACTAAGTTATAAATAACTTACAGGTATAAGACAGGGCAATGAAGAATAAATTAACAGTATAAACAAAATGCTCAGAGACTTCCAGCCTCTGCTGGCTCCATTTTCTCAGGGAAAGACTGGGAGAGAGTGATATTAACATCTGAGCTCAGGTTCATTTTCTGGCTGGCTTAACTCCATTAGAGTCTGGGGATGGGGAGGGCAGGTGAGAATGATAGTGGTGTCTCAGACATGTTTATTGCTGTATTTTATTGATTTCTTTGAGGGGAGAGAACTGCAGGTATAGCACACAGTTGCAATCTAAATTGATTTCTCTGTTGTTTAAGAAGTTTTGGCACGGTTTGCCCTGGTGACTCATTGGGGCCTTGCACTGCACGTGGTTTGGGGGGTTGATGTACAATGGGATCTTTCTGTCCAGTTTTTGAAAGTAAAGAAAGTCCAAACAAATTTTCAGCTTGTGAATACACCCACTTGACTGAGACTGAAGATGTTCTTTCATTCTTCCACACCTCATTAGAAGACCCAGAGAAATCTGAAAATGGCCTAACAGCCTCTTCATGCCATCACCACTGAAAAATGTCTAAATGCTACAGCATTCCTGCTTTTTGTTTGTTTGTTTTTCATGGTTTTGTTTTCTGTTTGTTTTTAAAAAGGCTTTTGGGTGAGCATTAATGTCAATTCTACCATGATATTTCTATATCTGTCCACTGGAGGTGTGCTTGATAAAAGCAAAGAAACAAATTCTAACCAAATCTTCACAGGCGTAGGATCAAATTTGCAAGGGGTCTTGTTTTTCGGGGTTTTTGAAAGCTTTGGGGTTTTTTAAAGCTTTTTAATTCTTTGGGCAATATGGCATCTTCAAGCTGCCAGGGGGTATCTCAGTTTGAATGTACATCTGTCCCTTCTTTTGCTTTGAGGAGAAATCTGCTCTGAGCCTGGTCCAGAAGACTGGGCTGCAAGTGGCGTCTTTGGCAGGGTCTGGCCACACCAACGCTCATCAGAACCCTTTATTTCTCACCTCTTCTCACTGTGAGAGTGAACTCACGCCTTGATTCCTTTTTCTGCTCGCACAGCTGGAGGTGGAGGTGGTGGATATGAACGGGAAGACCTTGGACGGGCCGGTGCGCTTGGACGTCTTGGTCATCGACCAGAACGACAACAGGCCCATGTTCAAGGAGGGCCCCTACGTTGGGCACGTCATGGAGGGATCTGCCACAGGTGAGTGCCAGGCACCCACAGCTCAGGAAATCATTGTGTTTGCAGGGATGATCAATCTGACTCCGTGTTTTCTGAAGGTTAATTTATTATTTTATGATATTATATTAAAGAATGCTATACTGTACTAAACACAGAAAGGATACTTACACAATGCTAAAAAAGACAATAATGAAAACTCTTTCCAGAGTCCTGACACAGCTTGGCACTGATTGGCCAAAGAGTCAAAACAACTCACAGCAGGACCCAATGAAACAATCACCTGTGGGTGAACAATCTCCAAACACATTCCACATGAGCACAACACAGGAGAAGCAAATGAGATAAGAATTGTTTTCTTTTCCTCTGAGGCTTCTCAGCTTCCCAGGAGAAGAATCCTGGGCAAAGGGATTTTTCAGAGAATGTGAATATGACAGAGCTTGAACAAATCCTCTGTTGATAAATGCATTATTATCACTCTGTACAATTTTTCTTGCTGATTTGGTGGCTCACTGGATTCTTCCTCTGTGAAAAGAAGCAGGAGCAGCACAACTTAAGGACAGCAGGTAATGATTTTTGAAAAACAAGTCTCTGCAGTAAAAGAAAGTAAAAGGAAAATACCCAGAAATTAGTTGGAAATAGGAGCTTTGATTTTGGTTCATGTTTTTTCTTCATCTCTGGAATCAATGAAGACAACCCCTAGGATATGATTAAGGTTCAAACCAAATACCATGAGCAATTTCTGTGCGGAGTGGGAATTTCATTTTTTTTCCTGTAAGTTTAGTTACTGGAAGGGTTGTTTTTATTTATTTATCTAGCATGAGTCTGGTAAATAACACAAATAAATGGAAAGCACATTATGAATAGAATAATGTTGTAGGGGAGAATGAAATACTGAACAATGCTGATAAACAGATGTTGTAAATGCAGATACAACCGTTGCAACAAAACAAAAACACATTGATAATTAAAGTTAGCAAGGAAAATGTTCTGATTAAATTTCCTGTTGATTTTGTCTGATGAGGAAATTCTACAAGAGCAAGATACTGTTCCAAGTTTTAATGTGGGTATAACCATCCAAGTTAAACTCTTCCCTCATATTATGTAAGATTTCTGCTGAATTTTGCATTTTCACATAGAGTTCTCCATATCTAAAAACCTGTGGGTATGAAATGCATTACAAGCTGCTCCTTCAACAGATTAAATTTTTGAGGTAAATGTTTATTTACCTCACTTGTGACAAACATATAATGAAGATATTGATGATCTTTTCAGCCAAACAAGAAATGTTTCATATTTGAGAATACGGCTGCCAGCGGAACACTCTTTTCTTTTGTAGCTCTCTAGTACATTTTTTAACTGGCAATTCTCTATTTTTATTATCCATAAACTCTCCTTGTTTTCCTTTTTTTCCCCACTCCTTATATTGAAGTTTACACTTCTGATTCAGTAGGGATGTTTCTCAGCCCACCTTCCAGTGAATTCTTCTGTAATAGTTCCATCCATTTTCTCCTATTGCTGCTTTGTATTGACTCAGGTATCATTTAGCATTTTGATTGTCTTTCCTGTTGGCCAAAGTTTGAATAATTTTTCTCAGCTTTCCCTCCCTTACCCTCCAGGTATTCATCACATTAAACTTCATAACCTCATTTGCCTGGTGTCAAGAGCACCAATGCTTGCAAAATTATTTTGTGCACAGTGGAGCCTGTGGGATCAGGGTGGGCTGGAATCAGCCACAGCTCTCTGTGCGGATGGCACCCACTCAGCCACCACCTCCTGCTCTCCTTTTCCATAGTTCTTCCCAACTTCTGGCACAGATCTTCAAATGATTCATCAGGCTCTGCTATTGTATCACAGAGGTTATCAGAGAATATTCTGGGCTGGAAGGGCCCCCCTCAGCTGTTCCAAATCAAAGGTTGCATGCACAGCTTGAGGGAAATCCTGATGTGCTGGCAAGTGCCATTCCTGAGTCCTTCCCTTTGGATTGCAGTTGTGCTGAATTTCATTGCTGAAGCTGCAAAAGGAAGGCTTTGGATGGGGATTTTGAAGGAATTTTGAATGAGTTAGAGATGGGATCTCTGAGTTTTTTAGATGATGATGTTTATTTTTCTTATCTTCTGTAGAGGTAGGAAGGGTGAGTTCAGCTCACATCTTCACAGCATGGTTCAGAAGGTCACAAGACCCTTAGTTATAAGACCTTTCAAGGATTTATTGCTTAATAAAATACTGTTGATAAGGATATTTATATTTTTCATCCAATCCTTAAATATTTCATTTTATGGACTCATAGTGTAAGCTTTCTTAGTTAATTATGTTATGATACACAAATTTGCAGTACTGTATTTTAAACTTCTTGTTTACCTTTGTAACTACTTAATTTTTTTCTATATTTTGAACTCTAAAACTCTAAACTTTCTTTTTTTTAACTTAAAGTGGTTCTGCTTTCAAGCTACATTGTCACTTCTATTACACAGAAATTACATAAACAGAGAAATTACAGTGAAAAGTTGTGCCAAGCCCCTTTTAAGAATCTTCTATCTGAGATAGATATAAATCCACCAAAACTCAAGAAAACATGGAAACAGTGTGTGATTTTTGTATTTATTTGATCTGTCTATGAATAATTTAAGAGCCTTTTGAGCACAGTCCCAGTGAGGATGGTTTGGATGGTGTTTAATTAGATTTTTTTTAATGTCACTAAGGCCATTCACATTTTTTTGTGTGTGTGATTTTTAAAATCACAGTAAACACCCCTGGTTATTTGGACACTTACAATTTCTGTGCCATCCCACTCCTGGAGAGGCAAGTACCTGCCTATAATTACTGAGAGCACAAACTACATTACAATGAGTATTCATCTGAATTTCAAGCTAGGGCTTGCCAGACCTTATAATTAATGATAAAAAAATGTGACTGCTAGGTGATATTGCTACAGATTTATTTCTTGATATATCATTCCTAGGGAAATTTAATAATATAGTTAGTTACAGTAAATTAGCTCTTTTCAGGGAAAATTGTTATGGTTCTGAAAATAGCCCAGAGTTAAATCCTGACAAAGTACACTCAAATGTGTGCTTAAAGTGACCACAGATGTGCTGAGATTTCTATTAGGCCTTTTCCTGGAGGGACTGCAAACTTGGAGGCTTTTTATCATAAATAAATGAATTGGAAGACCAGTAGAAACTGTTTGAAGACAGGAGAACCAGTTTGATTTGTTGTTTTTTATTTATACCAGCTCCCACTCCTGGATGAGGTGGTAGTCAGCATATGTGTACCAGGAAAATAATGGCAGAGCCTGGCTCAGTGACACTGATGGCAATTTTTGGACTGACTGTAATGGGTTTTGTGCTCGCTGCACTGCTGATTTCTCATGTTTTTGTTTTCTGAGTTATGACCCAGTTTATTCCCCGTAGATCTCTGATTTTTCCAGCTGCCAGCTCAAGGGTTGAGGAGCTGTGTCTCTTGCAGCAGCCTCACCTGAGCACGTTAATGAGGGTGGCTCCAATGCCATGGATTCCACAGGCAGGCAGAAACCTTTGGATATCTCACTTTAGAGGTTGGAAAGTGGAGGAGGGTTCAATGAACTTGGCAGCCACCTCATTTCTCTCGCTGGAGGCGCTTGACAGAAATTATTTTAAACACATCTGACATGATGTGACTTACAATATGCTGCAAACCCAGTGGGGTAAAATCTTAACTGCAGTGGTTTAGCAAAATTGCTTGAGAATTGCATTTAAAGAAAGTAACTTGTTTTCTGTGCTGCACACAATAGCCTGGATCCATTGCATCCCAGCCAAGGAGCCTGGACTGACAGATGTCTATAAATAATTGCTGGAAATAAAGGGACACTTGGAGACATTTAGAGAGGAAACAGAAGGAATTAAGAAGAATAGCCTAGAGGGTTCTGCAGTATCATAAAATAGTAATTTGTAGAGCTGGATAAAGCATGAGGAAGGGGCTGAGTATCATTGGTAGCTCTGGAAAATTGTGCAGTGGTTGAGGTAAATGAAAACTGGTGTTGAAATGGTGCCTTTTATTTAGAACAGCCTGCCAGGTTCATTGATTGGTTGTTTGTTGGTTTTTTTTTGAATACTTAAACTGTGCATTAACTTATTGTTAGGTTAATAAAAATGGGATTGTATGTGATAGATGGAGTCAAAAGAGTCCACGAAAGGGAAACAAAGGCCCAGCTGGCCTAGCAAAGTGACAAATATAAATTTGGCATTATTGAATTTACACACCTGTTGCCATCTTTGATACCTTTCAAATATTCTGGTACTGTTTTCCAGACTCTCTTTATTTGTGCCCTGCTATCCTTGCTGGCCTGTGGCAGAAGAAGGTTGCCAAAGCTGTAAATTTAATCAAATTGTATTGAACTGGGTGAAGTGTCAAAGTTTTCTTCTTTCTTTTGACCTATAAATCCCAGGGCACAGAGGGAAATTTTATAAGGGTGATTTTAGAAACTATCTTTTTTCTGAAAGATTAATTATTTTTTTTTAAGTCACAAAGAGCCATTAGAAAAGGATAATAAAGGATATATTACCTTTTATTTAGGAAAAAGTAGAATCTGGAGTTTCCAGTCTTCTCATTCTGCCTGCACTAGGGTTAGGGTGACACTTGAGTCTTTTTGTCACAGAAGTTTCACTGTTGTGCATAAATGTTTATTTTTTGATATTTTATTGAGTTGGGGTTTTGCAGTATAAACTTAGAAGTATCTATAGATCTGACCTGCAAACAGAAATATCTCAGAAAATTCACCTCAAAACTATCTCAAAATTGAAGTTTGAACCTGAAGTTTTTTGATTCCTAGCACTGCCACTCGCAGCAATACTCAGATTTAGAGGAGATTTGAAGTTTCAAATGTTACATATTTAATTATGAAACACTACTGTGAGCTGTTGTGGAAAATGAAATAATGAATTGGAATGAAACTGTGGATGAGGAAGCCTCTGACTCAAAGGAAGCAAAAGAATAAATATTTATTTGTTAAACCAGCCTGTTTCACAGCTTTTCCCCAGTCCTTC